GAAAGGAACTATTCAATTACTGAGCGAGAGTGCCTGGCTCTCATCTGGGCTATCGCAAAATTTCGTCCGTACCTATATGGACGCACGTTCGCAGTCATCACAGACCACCATGCGCTCTGCTGGCTGTCAACCCTTAAGGATCCTACAGGAAGACTCGGGCGATGGGCATTGCGATTGCAGGAGTACACGTTCTCTATAGTATACAAGCCTGGCAAGCTTCACAGCGATGCCGACTGCTTATCTCGACACCCTGTTGATCCACCTGACTCCTCTGAGTTAGAAGCTGATGCCAACATCCTAGCCATAACAAATTTTCTGCAAATAGCCGACGAACAATGCCAAGATCCATCGCTGCTATCGATGATTGACCGTCTTCAATTCGGCTATAAAGACCCTTCACTGAGCCTATTTTTTTTCAAGACAACGTTTTCTACCGCCGCAACTTAAAGCCCGATGGCGCGGAACTTTTGCTCGTCGTCCCACGTCATCTGTGCAAGGAAATCTTGCAAGAACTTCACAACGCCCCAACTGCCGGACATTTAGGCGTCTCCAGAACCTATGACCGCGTCCGCCGACGGGTATTCTCAAAGGGCCTTTATCATTCCGTTCGCCGCTACGTTGCAGCGTGTGACCTGTGCCAGCGTCGGAAGAAGCCTACGTCTCTAACTGCCGGTCACCTTCAACCTATTGAAGTCCCAGCCGAGTCGTTTCATCGTGTGGGTTTGGATTTGTTAGGTCCCTTCCCAATATCGGCAATGGGAAACAAATGGATAGCATTAGCTACTGATTATGCCACTCAGTATGCAATTACGCGAGCGCTACTGACCAGCTGCGCAACGGACGTCGCAGATTTCCTACTCTATGACATCATCCTTCAGCATGGCGCACCTTCTCACCTACTCACGAACCATGGCCGCTGCTTCCTGTTTCGTGTGGTTGCCGACCTCCTTAGATCCTTCCTCAGACCAACGGACTTACTGAGCGCCTCAACCGCACACTGACGGACATGCTTGCTATGTATGTTTCTGACGACCACACCGATTGGGACACTCACTGCCCTTCCGTTCGTAACCTTCACCTACAACTTGTCCAGCCATAAAACTGCCAGCTACTCACCATTTTATCTTCTCTTTGGCCGTGATCCCTTACTACCTTTCGATACCCTGCTTACGCATGACCTTCCGTCCACCACTTCGTATGCACGAGATGCCATCTCCATTGCTCTGATTGCCCGCGCCAGGTTCTCATCATCCCAGAGAGAACAAAAGTCGCTCTACGACAGCTGATATAGGGATGTCGATTTTTCTCCGGGGTCTCTCGTGCTATTGTGGCTGCCATCCCGTCGTGTCGGCCAGCGCGAGAAACTTTTATCGCAATACGTTAGGCCTTACCGAGTTCTGCGCCAAGTCACACCTGTCACCTACGAAATTTTTCCTACTACGAACCCCACTGTTACATCCAGAAGTGACATTGTGCATGCGTCTCGCCTGAAGCCCTATCACAGTGACCCATTCGTCTAATAACAGCAGGTTCTGGGACGATGCTTTGCCGCCCGGGGTAATGTCACGGGTATAGAAAGGTACCTCAGACAAGGGTGCAGAAATGACGCAGACGGAATGAAGACGAGGATGTTGTTGTGGGGCTGTGTTTGAACTGCCCTCTTGTCCTGAGTCCTTGTATACTGTGTGCAGTGTTAGCCCACCCGGCGTTCGCTTATTAAACTCCCCGTTACAACAACAACAATAATAATAATAATAATAATAGTAATAATAATAATAATAATATTAGAAGGAATGAGTAGCCGGGCAAGCTCCTGCTGATGGCAGTTATAGCCTAGACAAACCAGACGGCCTTCAAGCCGAGCCAAAATCGTGGCCTAGACAAACATGCATAGATTTACAGACGTGAGCCATATTGTGGTTTGAAAGTCAGATGTGCCGTGTGATGTGTAGAAGCAACAGACATCAAAATAGAGGACGTATCAACATAAAGCTAAGGAATGCTTTAGCCGATATGAAGGACAAGTTGCCGAGCAGAAATGTCCTTGGTCTAGTTTATGCCATAGACTGCCACAATTGTGACAACCAGTACATCGGTGGAACTGGTGGTTTCAAGAAAGGAGTTAAACAACACAAATATGATGCCACAAAACGACGCGTGGCCTCGACTGCCCTCGCTGAACATGCGGAATCTGCAGACCACGAAACAGACTTGTAAAACGCGTGTGTTCTGGCAAAAAAAAAAAAAAAAAAAAAAAAAAAAAAAAAAAAACCCAAACACCCCGGCATCTTCTCACGGGGGGACTCAAATAAATTCGTCACGGAGTGGTGGGGGTATCGCGTGATTGTTGCGTAATAGGGTATAGTTTGGGAATGCTTATTTGTCATTTTGTCTATTATTTGTATTTGTTGAATGAAGGAGAAGCTTTGCCTCCAAGGAGTATGGGACACTGATGTTGGGTTGTGCCTTACTACAGGTTAAAGGTACTGTTGCTTCCATCGCATCTACTCGAGTCAAGCAAAGCATCAAGCCAAGTAAAAGCCAAGTAAAGAGGGCCTTGACTGAATTCCGAATGCCCAATCCAGTGCCTACATATACGAGGTGGTCAGTGAATGGTTGTGCAGCACAAGCAGTCCGTTTTTATTAGCAGACGCTGCCTGCGTCGGCCTTGCGAGGGGAAAGAGAGGGGTGAGATACAGTTGGCACGAGACGTGAACATGTGCAGTAGGGGTGTAAACCAGTGGTTTTCAAAAAGGGGTCCAGGGACCCTCTAGGGTCCGCAAAGCCATTTCTAAGATCTGCAAAGCCCCCACCCACTATTTTTACATTTTTTATTCTTTTACATATGCAACTCTGTTTAAAAGCGACTGTGCCATGTATTGAACTGTCCAAAATGAAAGGGCATGCTTATTTGATGTTTTCAGTAGCAATAAAAGGCACTTGTTTCACGCTATAATTGTGTTAATTTACCTATGCAACCCCCTTAAACCAGTCCACAAGGGGTCCCCGACACATCCATGGCTGAGAACCACTGGTGTAGGCACCACCGCCGTCGCTGGTTTTGCGAGTAGGAGCCACTATAAAGTGCTCCGCATCTAAAAGAAGCTTGCATCATACCTACACCTCGAATCTCAATACTGACGACTGTACATACGCTGAGAAGGAGTGAAAGGATGCTTCTGAAAATGTACTCTAGCTGCTTACGTCACGTATTTAGGCGTACTTAAGTACACTGTACCTTTCTTATGGCTTTTGTTGAGAACGAGGCTCCCTCCCATATCGGGTGCTGAAAGTCAGTAAACTTTCTATGGGTTCGTGTATCCTTTTGTATTTACACTATGAAGCACGAGTTTTGCAGTCTTTTTTTCTTCCACATGTTTTCTAGCAGCTCACTGTAGTTGCAGCTGAAAGAGCGACTTTTTAAGCTTTGATAAATGGTGATGCTTATTAATGTGACCGTCGCACGAAACTGCTATCGGTTTCCATGATCTGGCCAGGTTTTTAGATAATCCCTGGCTATTCCATTACTTTTCAAGAAGGGTTCGAATTCCCTGACTTTTCCAGATTTTCCAGGTTATAGACACCCTGTATTCACAATATGAATTGTAATGAGGCTGCGAATGGCACAGGCGCTATACAAGCCGAGTATTGAAGCACGTTTGCTCATAATCAATACAAAAGTTTCACTTTTCCAGCTCGTCTATCAGATGGCGGTGTCGCCCAGCACGTCCGAAATCGGGTCGCGCGGCTCTCCTTCCCCTCGCTCGCACCCGCTGCGCATGCATGAGCCACCGTAGCGTGCCCACCATTGCGAGAAGGAGTCCTCTACTCTTCCCTACTTCCGACATCACAAAATGTTTTGTAACAGCCTCTCCTCAGTTAGAGGGGAAAATGCAAGAGAAGGGGGGGAGAAAAAAAAAGCCAAATGAAAATTAAAAGGAAAACAAAGATTGTCTGTAGCACATTATAATCACATGAAATTAAAACTAGATATGCCGCACTAGCACTCTCATCAGAGGAGTCAGATGCAATGTCATCGCTGCCACACAATAGTGCCTGAGCACTTGTTGTGGTCAGTTTGCATTGTTTTCAATAGGGCCTGTGCACATCATATTTGTTACCAGTGAAATGCTGCAAATTGTGATGTGCCATTTTCATTATGAAAGTGAAAGACAAAGAAAGGTCATTCCACACACTAAATATAGCTGCATTGTGTCTTTTTTCTCTGTGCCGGAGGCTGGTGATCGTGAGTAGCGTAAACGGAGATCTTCAGCTGCTCGTCGTTCAGGAAAAAATACTGTGGGCTGAAAATAAACAAAAATATTCTACCCTCAAAGAACCGCTTGCAGACTTTTATAAACAACTTGGCGACTTGGCGTATATTGGCTTTGTCAAGGTAGCGGTATTCAATGGAGGCGTACCGAAAAGTGATAACTAAGCCAGTCAAACAGCGGCTCAGAAGGTGAACAGCAAGAATAATAAATTTTCCTTTCTTTGAAGAAAAATAATGCTTGTCTTTCCCCTTTTATCTTATTCTGATCGCCAAAATAGGGTAATATGGTTTAAACGTAGTAGCAATTTATTTATGAGCATACTTGTTATGTACTCACGACATTGAGTACTAATTCAATTAGTCTAAATACTCTACTTGAAAGTATAATTTTTATCAAGATGAGCCAAATAAATGCTTTTTTTTTTTGTTCCTTTCCTCCCCATTATAAGTATACTTCATTCAGTGTTTTCAAGCAATTTATTTGGGCATATTTGGCATGTTAACATTTGATTTTGGAGGGCACTTTGCATGCGAGCCATGTACAGTATACTGTATTTGGCTCACATGTTCTCTGGAGCCCCGACTGCTGATCAACAGTGTTTTGTGACCATGCTCAAAAAAGTGTTGCAGGGTTCCTTCAGCAGTAGAGGCCCAATGTGGAGCAGTATAGCCACTGCCTTGTTCTTTTCACGTGATCCACAGTACAGCGAGAATTATGGTCTCTTACCTTGAAGAGGAAATAGGTGCTTTCAACAAATTCTGGTCTCAGTGGATGTTGGCCCCAGTGTACTTGGAAGTCAGTTGTAAATGCCTGAAAGTGTTTGAAAAGGAAGAAAACAGATGAAAAAAAATGAGGAAATATAAATATGAAGCCTGCCATATTATGTTTAGATGTACAGCGGTGGTTTGAAAAAAATTTTAGAACATGATAAAAGCTGTTCTGGAGCAGCAAAAATGATAAGAATCACATGGAGCAGTACAACAGCTGCTTTAACCTATTTCAGTCAGATTCTTATCATCTGGCACACCGAAAATCATGCTTCAATGTAAAAGAGAAAACACCAACCGTCAGAGAGCAACCATCAATCAGGCTGTTTATAGAATATTATACACTGGTTTCACCTCCATTTACAAATATATATTGCAGTAAAGCTTCAATGACCAGGGGAACATGGCACATAGTTTCTGCAAGCAAGATGTCAAAACCTCATTCCAAATGGATAAGACAAAAGGAGTTTAATGTTAGTGCTACAATTAGTGCACCAAAAACAATCAGGGCTATTGGCCTGCCAACCTTTTTTTTTTGTGTGTGAAAAACAAGTTAAGATTTAGCAGATCTCACACATATTTGGCACAAAGACATCATTCACAGTGCATGATGCTCAGAGGTAGCCTTTTGGCTGGTACATAACGATATGTATGCATAGTGGCTTGATAATCACCAAATAAATGAAAATCCCTTGTTTATGTATAATCGCTAAATTATCAAAGCCATTGACCTTCCAGACTAAAGAAGACTAGACACACAGTCAATAACAGAGGGCACATGCACATGCAGCAATGTTGTAACTTATGCCGATCTAATGGATGCTTTCATGAAAAAATGTGCATCAGAATAGAAAGAGGGAAGAGGTTTCATGAAAATCTGGATAAGTTTAGGACAAGTTCTCACCTCTGGAAGAAAATTGTGAAGCTGCATTACTTGGTAAAGCATCTCATGCGTTTCTATGGCTGGCTTTATGTCACCCTTGAGTACCTGCCCAGAATAAGAGACAAATAAGAATTTCAGTCAAGTCAAAAAGAAAAAAAAATGTTTCAAGAGTTTGCAAAAAAATTTTGTAAAGAGTAACCTTACACACAATTACAACAATATACAGCACACCATTTTCAAAACTGAACCAATGTAGACATGCTATTACAGCTTGCATATCGCATTTACTCGATTGTAACACGAGGGGTGACATTTTATTACATACATGAATAAAAAATAAAACAAGAATAAAGGAATTGTGAGCGTCATTGCACTTTTTAGGCAACTTGAACTTCCATATTCAATTGTAACGTGAGAGTCAACTTCAGGTAGCAGAAATTCAAAACTCGCGTTAAAATACGGCACATACTAAAAGAATTCATTAGCAACTCATCTAGCCTCAAAGGGGCTCCCCAAAACTTTTTCAACATGGTCAGAAAATGCTGCCTATCGGTAGTTGAGGCTCCTGAGAACACCCCGAGATATAGCGCAGCACATAGCCAGAAACTTCCCATTATAATGGTCAAATTCAGCAAGAAATGGTTCCCTCACATCTATACAAATGATGCCATGAACCCAAATGGTAGCACCATAAACAAAAGTACACGGCTATTGATTGACTTGAGCATCGAGAGCTGCATAGCTACCGAACCGACCGCGGGATGCCGGCACACGTGCCCACGTGTGCGCTCACAATCACACTGAAAGTAACCCACATGTGCTGAGAAAATAATGCTTAAGGTCATGATGTGCACTGACAAACGGATGCGTATTCTTGCCCCCTTGTCATTCCCCTAACACCGCAGCTTTCAGCACGCTTGTTAATACGAAAGGAGCGAGAAAGTTCTAGAAACATGCCAAGAATTCTTATAACTCTTCTCATACTTGATGGATACTAAAACAATTTTGTGACATTCGATTCAAGAAGCAATTAGCTCTTTTAAAGAAGCCATTGGATGATTACTTGGAAAGGTGTAACAGGGCCCTTTTAAGGCACAAGCAGTGATTGCTTAAAATTGTAGTCAAGTCTTGCTTCCAGTCCTGAATGTCAGTATACTGAAGTATTTGTATTACAAGGTTTCTGAACCCATTTTCATTTTTTTATATAAGCCATGCAATTTTTTTGATAAAGTAAAGCATTAGAAATTCGCACAACTAAACAAGAAAGATTTGTCGAGTGTATCTTAAAGCAGGAAAGTTGCTAAAGGTGAAGAGAAAGCCCTGTGTGTTCCTTTCGTCTTCATCTTCAGTGCATTTCACATACACTGTCTTTATGATCCAACTCGCCCAATTCAATATATGCTTGGAAGTTCAAGTTCTCATAAAACCATAGCTGAGAGAGCAGTTTTGAAAGATCAGGCATTGGTCAACTAAAAAGTTTTGCATTGAATGCATGAGTTTTGTGATGGGAGTGGCGTTTAGTGGTATGCAGGAGGTTTTAAAGTAGAAAAAAAAAATGAATCTCACAGCAGAAATTTAAGCTTTGAACTCTTTGTAAGTTCACCTATATTTCTGAACCGATATAAAAAATGGCTGTAGTTAGTATGACGCACCAATTACCAGCATGTGGGGTGCAGCGCAATTAATGCGGCTGATGTAGAGCGCGTAGCCAGTTCCCGACCCGTCAACTAAGAAAGCTGATCGGTTCCGCGAAGGCGAACGCGGAAGACCCGAGCGCGGGAAAGAAAAGAGACTTCTTTGTTCTCACGGTTCACAAGCGGAGCAGTCAAGGTCGCCTCCGTTCGGGATTAGAAGGGGAAAGCTTACTCGGAAAAGCGTCTGGCATGAGGCAGGTCAAGCGCCACCGTCTGAGTTTAAGCCATTGTTGGCAGGCACAGTGTGTCGTTGGAAGGCACAGTGTGTCATTGAGAATGACACGGGGATGCGACCACTTGGCTGACCGAGACATAGTGGCGGCAGGGAAACGACCATAATCTCCCCCGTTGTTGTTAGGATGTCGGGGCGCCTCGCTGTCGCATGCGCACCTGGTAAGCGCACGGAGCCCAACGGTGTACCCACCACTCTTTAGGAGGCTTCTAGGAAGCAACAATTAATGAGAGAACTGACGGGGCTCGAGCGTGAGAACGGCCGCCGACGGAAGTCGGCCGATGGAGGCAGCACTAGTAATGTTGGGCAGCACGGCCTGGCATGGGAGAGAGTGTCACATGCGGAGAACCTATCCCTTTGCGTGTTTTATTTGGTGACGAGGTTTTTACAAATGTAGTGCCTTTTATGAAAGTGTTTCTGTGATTGGTTGTGATGATGCGAGTCCCAACACGTGATTGGTTTTTGTGAAGACTCTTTGTTCGACCAAGGGTTGAAAAGAGGATGTTTGAATTTGAAATGTGGGCGGAGGTTCGGGCTTGGACTCGGGCAGTCGCCTGAGGCTGCAATAAAGCGTCTCTTCACCGGACTGCGGCTCTTCCTTCGCGCTGCCACCGTGCACTCGAGTCATCGAGGGGACCCATTCCGAACCTCAAACATCTTCTCTGCTTAGCTAGTGTTGAAGCTAGTCGAGGAGGAAGAAACTAACTGCTGTGGTATAGCAAAATATATACTACAAAGAAACAGTTTGAAACAAATTTCATCAAAATCAAGGCAGTAGTCAACTTAAAAAACAAACAAACTTGTGAGAGTGTTTGCACAAACTAGGAAAACACTGTCCTACTTTCTCACGAAGGCACTACCTCGCGATTGCATCAACAGGTGTTAGGGATGAAAGGGCCAAAGCAAGTGCCACTTCTGAGTGTCACTTCTCATGTTTTGAAGAGGAAAGTTATGCGGACCTCATTTCAGCAGGAGAACACCACCTGCCGTAACACCACTTGTGAGCCTTCATAGTGCTGTGGATCTGTTTCTGTAAAGCTTACTTCACCGGATGTGCCCGTCAATTTTTTTTTTTGTCTGTATGGCTGTCCTTGCTTTTGCTGTCAAAAATGTCGAGTACACATGTCCTTCATCATATGCATACTTTTGAAGAGGTATACGATATAAAGAACAATATTTTCATGCACCAATATCCGCAATTGTGCCAAGAAATGAGCAGGACAATTCAGCAGGGGATCATTCCTATGCAATAATCAATCGGTCAAATTATTGCGTAAATTTACAAAAACACAGAATGACTGGAAGCTGAAGTCACCTCACTGAAAAACCAGAAGAACAGGTAGTTTTCTGGAATATGGATTGGCAAATTGTATCAATCTGAAGAAGAGGAAAATTCAGAAACTATAAAAAATTACACCATCTACCGCTAAAGGAAACCATGTGCAGATGCGAAACAGTGGGCATTAAGGCTTACACTGGCGGCATCGTGGCGTTCTGCTGGTGCGCATCGTGGCGTTCCGCAGGAGAGAAACCTGGGGGGACGCAAGGCATGCAGTGATGGACCGGTGTTTTCTACTAAAACATGCCAATTGCTGCTAATGGGCAATGAGAGACAGAAGACTCCAACTGGGCACAGAGACCCACAGTTCACGTTTAGCTCGCACGCACGCTGCGAATTTTCATTGTTCAACAGGGCACAGAAAAAAATCTCCCACCGGCACTACCTTGGAGGTCAAGATCCAAAGCCTGTATATAGGGGGTGGCAAGTGAATGGTTGTGCAATGCAGTCAGTTTTTTCAATTGAGAAACTCGCTAGCAGATGCTGCCTGCATTAACATTGCGAGGCGAAACAGGGGGAAGCGTAATAAAGCAGAGATGGGGAGGGGACGTGCATCTGCAATAGGGTGTAAACGAGGAATGCCTCGACAAGAGAGAGGGGGGAGCGAGCGTAGGTTAGCAGACACTTTCTGCATCAGCGTTGAGAGGCCAGAGAGGAAGGATTGTTTGATATGTGGGGTTTAACGTGCCAAAACTGCCATATCATTATGAGAGACGCTGTAGTGGAGGGCTCCGGAAATTTTGACCACCTGAGGTTCTTTAACCCAAACCTGAGCACAAGGGCCTACAGCATTTTCCCCTCCATCAAAAATGCAGCCAGGATTCGATCCCGCGACCTGCGGGTCAGGTACCTTAGCCACTAGGCCACCGCGGCAGAGCGCCAGAGAGGGAGAAGTGTAGGAAAAGAGAGTGGGGGAGGGGAGCAGACGCACATGCACAGTAAGGGTGGTCACGCCACACACCGGATTGAGCTTAACTCTCAGCTGGTTAGCATCTAAAAATTTACTGAAATTATACACATTGTAACATTACAAGTGCCCTTCGAAAGAATGGTAAAAAGATTTGTCTTGAGATTATGAAGACGTAGGCAAAATATGAGTGACTTAGCGTGGCACTAATTGCAATTGGTGATAAGGGAGAAAATTTTTCCTTGCAGATGGAAAAGTGGGACGTATATGTCCCACTGTTGCACAAAGCGTTAAAAGTAGGCTTGTCAGAGTAGTGAAGATTTGAAGTGAATAGTATATATATATTACATAATATAAAGAAAAATGAACATATTTTTCATGACCTAACTAACCTGCCCAAAATATACTTTTTTATAACTGAAACAAAGCCTGTAGAAATACTATTTTGTTTTGCTGCAAAAGAAGGGGAAACAACTTTGAATAGTAGCAGGATTTGAGTTTTAATAATAATATCTGGAGTGTAACAACAGTATGTGTGCTACGCGGCAGTGCGAATTTTTTTGAATATGTGTTTTTATGGATTAGTACTACTTCACTGCAGTGAAACTACCTCTACAGAAAGTTGCATGTGAACTAATATACATATGCATAAATGCTTTTTCATGGCTGAAAACCCCTCCTCTACAGTAAAACCACCTTTACAAAAAGCTACACGCAAACTACCATACACTTGGCTAGGCACTTTCACGATTTAGTGCCCCTTCACTGCAGTGAAACCCCTTTACAAAAAAATCATGAGGACAAATATTCATCTCTTAATTTGTTTTGGACACTTCAAAATTTTGTATAATTAAATTCAAATCGAATTGAATACTGCAATATTTGTTCAAATATTTGAAGCATTCCCATATTTGCAAAAGCCTAGAGAATGCGTTTGGTAAGCGAGAAAACATACAAAAACCAGAAGTTGTTCCATGTACGAATACAACCGATGAGCGAAGCTCCTCACAAATGGGACGCAAACAACTACCCAGTGAGCCACTGATATCCTGTCAACATAAAAATAAGATCTATACGTCTACGTTAACATCTAATCGACATCCCCATAATGTGCCATGCTTACAGAGTAGAGAACCTACGCATTATTAACGTCATACACACTTCTCTCTTAAAACAAAAACTACCGTATTTACTCGATTCTACCGCACCCTCGATTCTAACGCACACCCGGTTTCCATGCCGAAAAAAAAAAAAAGTAAGACATCGATTGCAACGCGCACCCATTTTTCTCGTTGGCCCGCACGATCACACCATTCGGGAAAACGACTCCTTTCGGGAGCGTCTTCCGTTTAAATATGAGGTACGGGGGAAGCTTGTGCCTATCTGACGTGCAACGGAGCATTGCCATCACTCTAGTTTTACCGTGGCCCGATTTCAGCACGCGAACTTGCTTCGCCCCCTTCTTCTCGCCAGTTGTGGTGCCAGGCATGTCGAAGTAAACAGGCGTCTAATCGGCATTCCCGATTTGCCCAAGCAGGTAGCCGTTGTTGTGCCACAAGTTTAGGATGAACCTCTGAAAACTGTGCATCGCCCTTCTCCGCAAAACTTTTCGCAGATGCTCGTTCACCTTCGGAGGGAAAAGCCTTTCCTCTTCATAAAGCTAGTTAGCCAGCACCTGCTCGCTTTAAACTGGCTCGGCATTAGCCCTTTTTCTAAGGCTAACTGCATAGCCTGCACTTCGAGCAGTTCTGTCGTCACGGGTTGCTGTGCCGCTCACTGCTCAATCTCATACTCGCCGAGCAGCTCTTCAATTAGCGGAAACCGACCCTGCTGTGGTCCACTGAAGCCTTAATCTTTGCTGTTGACAATATTCCGCTTTTATTTCTGCCAGTCCCGCACGCACATTTCAAGAACTCCGAACGACCGCAATGCGGCCCGATTTCCGTCCGTTTCGGCACACGCGATGACTTTTCTTTTAAAAGCGGCATCGTGGTGCACTCGTCAAGCTTTTGGAGTCGGCCCTTCCATGCCGTCCATGCTAATGCACTACCAGATGACGAACTCCTCAGCACATGTACGAAGTGCCGCGCATGAGAAACACAGGAACAAATGGCCGACGCGCCATGCCGACACACGTAGGGGGCGGCCATTTTGGAAATGCCGATGGCAATAGAATGACCGTATTCATTTTTTTTCGTACTCGATTCTAACGCGCATGCCATTTATGAACTCGCTTAACCGAAAAAAAGATGCGCGTTAGATTCGAGTAATTACGGTAGACGTCGCAAATGATGTCGCATATACATGCTCACAACATCAAACGCATCGCAGAATTTTCTGTCTTTCAAAACTGCTTTAGTTGACGTTTAGAATGATAAATATATACTGGTACGTAAAATCTAGAAAGTACTCGAACATAAATGGACATGTAACGTTCGAGCGTACGTAATGCATACACTTATATGCGCGAGGAGATAAAGCACGCGAATGACCATAAAATTAACATGCATGGCGTTAGTTCTGCCGTACATGATAGAGTGAAATCATGCAGCCTGAAGGTGGTTTTAAGTGTGAAGACCTTCAGAGGCTTGGGCTGTTGTCACTTGGCGTAACGCAAGCAAAACCACATAAACAATAGAAAAGATGGAAAGTGAGAAATTGAGATATGGAAAAGGAAGAAATAAAAGAAAAATAGAAAGGGTAATGGAAATAGATAAAACAATAAAGAAAAAAAAGAAAAAACTGGAAAAAAAGAAAAAAGAGGAGGACAGAAAGCTCAAGAGAAATAAAGCCAACTTCCCAGCTTTGCACTTTCTTCAGGCTTGCTGCATGTATACATATAATTATATACATTATAGTTCTGTGTGCTCGAGACCTGCACTCCCACTGCAGTCTGGCTCTTAGCTGGTGCGTAATACTTATAAATAGCATCAACACCTTGAGGCTGGCCTTAAATATGTCGTCTGACAGCAATCCGGCCAGCCTCGCCCTTCCACGGTAGTCAAGTAGTTAAGGTACTTGGCTGCTGACCCGCAGGTCGTGGGTTCGAATCCCGGCTGCAGCGCATACATTTTGGATGAAGGCAAAAATGCTGTACGCCCATGTGTTCAGATTTGGGTGCACGTTAAAAATTCCCAGGTGCTCAAAATTTCCGGAGCCCCTGACTATGGCGTCTCTCATAATCATGTGATAGTTTTGGAATGTTAAACCCCACATATCAATCAATCCGGCCAGCTTCACGCCTTTGATGCTTTCTATAAAGTACAGCTGAGCGGCAATGAGCAAGACTGCCATGGGACCGCAGGTCTAACACACCAACTACATGTGATAGGTGTGTAAAGTGCGTGAAAAAATATTTTATTTACTGTATAACAATGTTTATGTATATCTGTTGAATGTCCATTGAGTGTCTATGTGCAACATACCTGCAACCTTACTTGGCCGAGCTTTTCATAGTTGCGGGTACATCTAATTGATTGATTGATTTGTGGGGTTTAACGTCCCAAAACCACTATATGATTATGAGAGACGCCGTAGTGGAGGGCTCCGGAAATTTTGACCACCTGGGGTTCTTTAACGTGCGCCCAAATCTGAGCACACGGGCCTACAACATTTCCGCCTCCATCGGAAATGCAGCTACCGCAGCCGGGAATCGAACCCGCGACCTGCGGGTCAGCAGCCGAGTACCTTAGCCACTAGACCACCGCGGCGGGGCTTGCGGGTACATCTAATCTTCGTAATTTGGATTTTTGTGGATATCTAAAAGACATTTACAATGTCCATGAGAAACATACCATGGATTTCTACACAATATTTGTGGTTTACTGCGTATGTGCCTGACCTCGCTGCTGGCTTTTATGAAGGCAGTAGGGTGGGGAGCCAGTGAGAAAAGGGTATGCTGCGCTCGGTAGTGAGAACGACTGAACGAGTGAGTGTGAGGAGGGCAGGGTGCAGCGCGAGCCGTCTGCTATTGCACCTATGCTCGCCGAGAGCGCGCACCTGTCGCCTGTCGTTTTGCTCGGCGTGCTTGTCCGGCGCAGGAAACTTGGAAGAAGATTGTCCTCTGAGGGGATAGGCCTAACACACAAAGATTTGATGAGACAAAGTCGAAAAAATCAAGAATATACTTTGAAATCCGTGATGTAAAGTGTGGAAATTTTGATGTGAAATTTAAAAATAAAACTGTGACCTTGACTTTCTCCACTATTATTAACCTAAGATGGTGAAATTAAAAAAAATTGCAGTTCTCAGCATAAAAATAATCAATAAAAATTGGTTCACTGTTTTGCTTTAGTGTTTTTTTAAGTTGTTATAAGTACACCTGATTATGTCAATTACTTGCTCTTTTACAAGCCTCTGGTACAGAAATCAGATGCCATGAGTGGCATAGCTTGGAAGTGCCAATAAGAAGCAGAACTTTATTAGTAATGTCCAGCGAAGTTGATTTCGGGCAGGCCTTGAGGAGCCCTTGGGCTCAAGCGGCCTTTTCGGCTCGTTGGATGGCCCACACTTGTTCTAAGGCAGAGCTGAGCAGAGCCTCCTCCCAGCGTGCCCTGCGGTTTAAGACTGCCTTTTTGTGGGCTTTGTCTGTTCTGTCGTCTAAACTCGAGCATTCCCACAGCATGCAGGCAAGTGTCAGCAAGTTAGAAATATACTTGCCTGCAGTCCCGGCCAAAAGGCCAGCAAGGCATCCATGAAATTTCTGGAGTTGGTATTGGGCCGATGCATGTGCACATCAACAAGCATGGGGCCCTGGCTGACATACTTCATCACAGCAGTGTAGTGCTGCAATAAACAAATGTATGGAGTCATACGTTAGGAGAAGTCATTAAGAAAGAAAGCCATGGGAACCGGGTTAGTTTGAAGTACAGCTTCATGAAAATACATATACCTTTTACATCCAGCTACACAGTCAACATCGGACTTTTCTGATTGCCTACAGGCAACAAATGTTTATTAAAAATAAATGCATGCCTTTTTATTGCTTTCAAAAGGCTCAAGCAGTCATGGTCATGTCCGAACAGTGCTATATGTCGCGGGAGGGGGGTTCTGACCTCCCTTGTGTTCCGGCTGGGAGGCACACTCCTTGCCGGTGTTCCCAACATATAGAAGTTCATCTTTCATAGACTGTATTAGAATTGTTTGAAAGTTAAGTATGGCACACTCTACGTGAAACCAAATTTGAAATCCAAAGCCCTTCTAGTGAGCAGAATCAAAGAAAAGAAGTGAAAGCTACTTTTTCCTTTCAAAAGGCACTGCAGAGCACAAGCTTTCCGATAGGCTACTGGCTACTTTTGGCATGCTGCAAATGTTTATTAAGTTGGGCTTGGAAATAAAAGGTAGATGAAGAATTTCAAGACATCTACCATTATTTATTTATGTTGATTCATTGGGAGCCATTGACAATGAAGTACGAATGCAAGTGATCGACTATGATAGCGTTAATCAAAAAAGCTCCTGTGCTTACGAAAATGCTTTAGAAAAAAACTAGGAGTGCACGAATATTCAGAATTTGGAATATTTTTTCTGACATTGTTTGCTATTTGATTCACACTGGAATTTTACCATTCAAACTACCGTAAAATGCCGAGTAAGCGTCCCACCCAAGCAAGTGCCCCCCTCCTTTTTTCGAGAGATATGAAGTAAGCGCCAAATGAGCGCCAATATTAGTCTGGGACCAATCAAGTGCACCCGTCCCAAGTCTGGTCGGATTATCCTTCACTGTGAGGAGGGGAGGGGGCTTGCATGTCATTTTAAGGTGGTTCAAATGATAAAATTCCAGTGCGAATCGAATTGAACTTCTCAAAAACAAATACAATCAACGCCTGATTGACACTGACCCCTTCAAATTGTCAATATGCTTCAAGCTGCTTTTCGAGCCCTGCTACGGTAGAACTTTGCAAAGGCAGTCCAACTTAATTAAAAATGATGCCTTCAAATTTTCAGTATGCTTCACCTCAACACATTCTTGTAGGGCGGCAAAACTACCTTTCACATTTGAAACTCAAGTAGGGTCGCTAATGTACCGACTCGAAAAAACACTCGTTCCAACATGGACATTATAAATGTGACAGAGGTGGGGGCTCAGTTAATGCTGTTAAACCTGAAATTTGTGCAAGAAGTTCAAAAAAATCGGACAGTGAAGATTTTTAGCACCCTAAATTTCAGATGTTCTAATATATTGACATCTACAAGGCAGATTTGGAACTCTGCACTTGAAGGGAGCTCACCCTTGTCTGCCACATCAATTCCACAGAAGTAGAATGAGGAGGAGAGGCTGAGGAAATAGCATCATCGCCTTTCAAGTGTAAAGCGCTGGTGACGAAATTTCGGTCGCACCAAATCATCACCAAATCATGTACAGAGATACAATTCAGCCTCTGCATTGCCTCAGTCTTTATAAGACAGCTATGCAACAGCAGCCCTCCAGCACTACATCAACGTAGCCAAATGAAACTCTTTGTGTTGCAGTCTGATAAGAATATGCTTATAAATCTTTTGCAAGATTTTTTTTTCAGCAGTTCCATTTCAAAGTATTCATTAAATATTTTAGAAATATTCAATTCACACTCACACTTCAATATTCAGGTTCGCTTTGCACCCAAAATATTGCTTTTCACACAGCTTTATAAAAAAAAGTTTACGTGAGTAAATCGTGGGAGTCTACTATCTGTTACAGGTGTACAAGATGGGGAATGGAACAGAGTTAAGGAAAAGCTGCAGCTTCAGTCATTTCAACAAAATGCTGTTAGCATTTTCATTTTTCATTCCATGGTTTAAACTAAATGACATATTACCTATAAATATACAAGAGCCTACCTAAGAGCACCTTGAAATTAACTTTACTACAGAACGTATGCTTGTACAATCTGGCTGCTCAGTATTGTTTTCCCTGACAAGGCGCGGAGTTGCTCGGAGGATTTCAAGCCGACCGGTTGTGCCACCCGCGATTTTCGATGCCAGCTTAGCTCTTCCCAACTGGTTCACCTTCCGCGACCTCCTGACGTCGTTCAGCTCTCGTCGTGTGGTGCCTTGTCTTCGGACTTCTTCGACCGGCTCCCAAATTTCCCATCTACTTCTTTTTCTGCCGCTTGCCTGTCCCATTTCTTTATTTATATTTTTCCTATATTCTTTTATATCCCCCTTCTCCAATCCCCTACAAGGCGCTGAGCCGTGCTCCCGCAAGGGCTGCAGAAAATAGTGCCTTGTTCCTTTTCCAAGCAACCACGCATTCATTAATTCACAAGGCACCAACGCCCATTTGTTTTTTATTTTTAACCCAAAGCACAACTTCAATTTTTATATTCTTAACAAACCTATATTTACAGAAACAAAACAGCCACTATGATAAGATACAAGAGCCCGTGTGAGTTTTCTGGATTTTGACCACTGTATTTAAACCACTGTAAAGAAAAAGTGCTCATGGTCAATATGTGTTTGATCAACATGATGCAAGTGTGTGACTAATCCCTGTAATTTCGCTCGTACTTGACGAATTCCAAGATTTTTTTTTTTTGTGGCAATCGATTTACAAGACAAACTACATTATTGAAGTTATACGACGACTATTTGGTAAAGTGCTGAACGGCCCCTTTAAGGACCGATATATGGTGCATCAATTATAACCATTAGCATGTACAAAAACTTTTCTAATATATGAGAAAAAATGACACAGGCATAAATGATCACATTCAGTCGGTATTAAATATGATCACTGAGTATTGTTTTGTTTCTGTTCCGTCACACATTTGCAGCACTTTACAAAAAATGCACGATCCTGGCCATGGCAGTAGCTATTCAATGAAGAAATGTTTAAGGCTCGTGTACTATGCAATGTCAGTGCACGTTAAAGAACATTGGATGGTCAAAATTTCCGAAGTGCTCTACTATGGTGTCCCTCATGAATATATCATGGTTTTGAAACGCAAAACGTCAACAATTATTACCCGTGTACTCAGGAGACCTCACAAATTAGTTTAGTAGTGGCCAAACCTATGTAAATTAATAATAGTTTGGTGCCATTAAATAATGCATATGCTTGTTTGGACCAAAGGATTATTCTGGATTATACCATTTTATAAATTAAAAAGGGTCAAATCAATGAGTTCAAGTAAATTTTATTTACATCATAGTGATAAGGGCAGGTCCAGGCTAAAGATAAACAAGTTTCGCTTGAAAGTGCCTCTAGCTCCCTTGCTATTGGCTTATAACTGAAGCAATTTACATTAATTTCAACATTGTAATTTTACATCAAAATACACATTAAAAATATAATACAATCAAAGAATTGCATCACATCTCAAAAACTTAAGCGTAATATGAATGATGTCTGTCTGGTTGGTTATGTAAACTGGGAAACGATCTAAACTCCAACCAAAAAGTATGTGAAGATACGTAAACTGTAAACCCAATGTTTTGGAACCAACTTGGTTCCTTGTTCAGGGGGAACTGGGGCTACGTTGCGCGGCATCTTTAAAACACTCACGGGGTGGTTATTGACTCCCCCTCCTCTCTCCCGTTTTTCCACGGAGCGTAGTCCGTGTGTATACACCGGGGGAAGGCTTCCGAGAGAGCAGTTGATGTTTTGGGCCGTTCGCTCTATACGCCACGACTCGAGTAGTAACCTTCTCCTCCAGTTAGTCTTGCTTTCAAGGATGGTCGTTGTGTCAAAATTTATCCGGTGGTCAAACGTCTCAGAATGCTCCGCGACTGCGCTGCGCTGTTTGTAGAGCTTCCGGACGTCATTCGCGTGTTGTTCGAGTCGTTCGGGTTACTTTTTTTTGCCTTGCCGATATACAAAGAAGGACACTCGGCGCACAAGATTTTGTAAACGACACCGGGGGTCCTGTTCACTGTTGGCTGGTCTTTCGGGCGAGGGAGGAGGCGGCCCAGCCTACATGAAGGCTGGGCCACCAAAAACATCAACCGTTCTCTTGGAAGCCTTCAACCCATGTATACACACAGACTATGCTCCGCGGCAAAACAGGAGAGAGACAGAGACAGGGAGGCCATTAACCGCCCCGCAGTGGGGCTTTGAAGACACTGCTGCAACGTAGCCCCAGTCCCCCCTGAGGAAGGAACCAAGTCGGTTTCGAAACGTCGAGTTTATGCATCTTCACAAACTTTTTGATTGGAGTTTAAATCGTTTCCCAGTTAAGCGTAATATGTATAAAAAGTTAGAAACAAAAAAGCTAACACAGTGGCCCCACCGCGGTAGTCTAGTGGCTAAGGTACTCGGCTGCTGACCCGCAGGTCGCGGGATCAAATCCCGGCTGCGGCTGCATTTTCGGTGAAGGCGGAAATGTTGTAGGCCCGTGTGCTCAGATTTGGGTGCACGTTTAAGAACCCTAAATGGTCGAAATTTCCGGAGCCCTCCACTATGACGTCTCTCAATATTATATGGTGGTTTTGGGACGTTAAAACTCCACATATCAATCAAGCTAACACAGTGCATGCGCAAAATTTCCAAGAAAGATGCTAATAGACAGCAGTTCTTATAATGTGAAACATCACAGTGTCACCATTTAGAACCCATACAGAGTATGCCAAAATTAAATAGTACATCTGAAATTTTCATTTTTAAAAGAGAACATTGAGACATTGTGTTTGAAAGATGACATATCAGGAAAAAAATTCTCAGTACATCTAAGTGATCTTTTACCCCTGGCTGCAAAACTAATAATTGTAAAAGTTCTCAGACATCCCACATTTCAGTCATAAGCATACAGTAGTCTCTCTTACCAATGTAGTGACATTCTCTATTTAGTCATTTGTTCATACTCTCTTAAGTCATTTAGTTTCCTACAAGAAAGCAGTAATTTACATATGATAAAAATGGCATGTACAGTATTTTCTGGTATGCTGTATATTAATAGGCTGGGAAGGTAGACAAGACAGGAAGAATTGGCATCAAAGGACCATGCATTATTAGAGAATGCTGTTTTTTTTTCCACTGAAACTGTGGTTTCCACGTTGCGGAGTTGAAGTTTAGAGTCATGGGCCAAATCCTTATTATGTGTATCATTTGTCTGTAATACAGTCGAGCCCGCTTATAATGAACCTGAGCCTGACGCGGCATCTGTTCACTGTATCCCGAAGTTCGTAGTAAATGAAACACACTTTTAAAAAAGTTGCGAGTCAAAACACAAAATTTTTTGCCCCAAAAAGTCTGTGATGCACGTGTTTCGAAGAGCAGAAGTGATAAGGGTGGTCTCGAGATTATTTAAAATGGCAGGGTGCTCGTTCGCCGAGGGCCGTGGCATAAACTGCATGAGGCACTGGCTCCAAAGTTTCGTCGTTCTCGCAATCCGATTCCTCCAAATTGCTCTCGCCACGTGCTTCATTCACAATGCCCTAATTCGTGCACAGTTCTGCAGTGTGGGCCTCATTATCGGCCGTAATTAAACCATCGCAATCAATGTCCCACCTGCTCTGCCAGGTCAAAGTTGACGACGCGCTGCCACAAATCGCCGCCGCAGTGGTCCTGTTCGGAAGCTTCAGTATCAGCATCGGGCGCGACATCGACGAAGTCGGCCTCACGAAAACAGTTTTCGCGCGCATGTAGGCGTCACCGCTGCCCATGGAATATTCACCATCTCGGCAGCTGAATATTGGGGCACCCGAAGCGGCAAGTTGGCTGCCAGGTGGTCAACAGCTATGCGCAAGCGCTTTGCAACACGGCACCTAACTTGCGGATAACGCCCAAGCCAAGCGGTCATACTTTCTACGTTTTGTTGAGCGGCAGGAGAAAGTGTGGAAGGCCTCCCATCCGCCATCCTGACCACACACGCACACTAAGAGCGAGCAAGATTCGCACACGCGACACACATGCCAGAATGCATGGAACAGCTGTGGGCTTGTTTCTAGTCAGAAAGCGAAACTTCTGAATTCAAGCCAGCGTGGCTGGCGTCGCGAAGTGGTGGAAACTGACAGAGGAGTTGTGATCAAGAGAGGAGAGAAGATTTGCAAGAGAAGGGCAAGGAGTTGCGATAGAGTGAAGAGAGGGGAGGATACGGCCGGATGGTAACCTTGAAAACCAAAAGGAAAGAGTGTCTGCGCGCACAGAGGTAAAAAAAAAAAAAAAAACGCTTTGCTTCACCGGCGGGTTTGCATGGCCTTACCGACTTTGATATTTCGCGATTTGTTCCGTGCAAAATAACAGCCGTTTTTATGCTTCTGCACCCGTGCGGAGGGCATGCTGAGCTGAGTGTGAATCGAGCGAGAACAGGTCCTAAACACGAAACGAATTGCGAATTATCAGAGTCGGTGAAGTAGCATATGCGCACGCGCACTAGAACGATACGATAAGACAAGACGCAGACGATCGGATACAGTTGGTGGCTGATGATGTTGGCAAATGGTCTGGTCACTCCAAGCTGGCGACGCCAATGACAATACCAGTGATAAAAAAACTGAGGGGGAGATGGCCGACCGGTCTTCGAAAGATCGGTGGCAGTGTGAAAACACAGGTCTCATTAGGTGATGCGGGGTGCTTAAAGTAGCGGGGGGACAAAGGACGGAGGGGTGCGTAACAAAAAGCAGTCGGGGAGAGCGCCAACTAGATGGGCCGGTGTTTAACAGCAAGAATCTATGGACACCTCGCCGATGCCTGATCGATGGTCGAAAGGAGTTTCCCGGGAAGTCGGCAGAGTGCCGACTCCATTCGCTGTACACGATATGCGTCGCTCGGAGACGTTCGTTATAAGTGCGATATTGTGCCATTGAAACAGTGTTTATTTTCACAGACACGCAGATATTGTTTGTTTTAGGCAAAAGTTCATTTTAGGTGGGGCCGTTATATGTGGGCGCGAGTGTATACTGGAAAGAGGGGGTGCAGCATAACACAAAGTGCACCAACAAATGATTCTTGTTTGGGCAAGCAATAAGTACAGCGAGTAATTAGGCCCTGCCACCAAGCAACCCTAATGCTGGCCTAAGCAGTACTTGTACATGTGGCCCAAGGAGAGAAGAATGTGGGTATGATCCGACGCAGCATTGCAACTGTTTAATACTAAAGACTGACCCTTTTGTTCACTTGGGATCCTATGGAAAGCATAGTGAAAAATAAAAAATAAAAACAGTGATTTACCTTGTTAAACCTCTCAAGATAAAGATCATCCCCGAGAAGTATGTAAGCTTTGAGGCAATATTCATAGTAAGAGTCGATGCCAGCTCCAACGCCACTATCTGCAAAACAATAAACATCAAAGAAATACGAATGAGTAGAATTAGTCCACATACATATATAGTATACATTAAGGTAAGTTCCAACCTCCAAGGTTAAATTTGACTGCACACACCTACCACATTCACTGTTGTCCAATTTTCACTAGACAGATCATTCATTACTGTGAAGTGGCAGCAGACTGCAATGCTATCATCAACTACAATAGCAGTAGTCGGCTATGCCATGAACAATGCACGGGACAAAAATGTTCCCCTCTCCACTAAATTTTTGAAAATTGTAGAAACTTATCGGTTTATACAAACATATTAGCAATATATGATGAATTTTGTAGTGCGAAAAAAAAAAAAAAACAGAGACGGATCAAGTGACGACAAAACGAAGCGCTTTGTCTCCAGTCATTTTTTTTTGTGCTCCACAAGTTTTACCATGTATAATCACCAACAAGCCCACTCTTACATTCTTGCATATTAGCAATTTTCAGGGTAAGAAAAAATGCAATTTCCCTTAGTGCTGTTTGAAATAAACCCTTAACCCTTCGAGGGTTTTCTCCGTACATGTAAAGCATCACCTAACATGAACCAAAGGGTTTTCACTGTAGATGTACGTCATTGCCTGCATGTTTAAAATGTGCGCCTTTTTTAGAATTTTTTTTGCTGGGCATGTGCTGCCACACTTTCGAAATATGTGGAACTTTTTCATGTGCCAATATCTAACAGTTTTATTTATTTTATTATTATTATTTTTTTGCTTCCTAAAGCGGTGCGCCGACTATCTCTAGCACATTCGAGTAGTTTGTGGTGCAGCTGGTTTAAAATGCATGCTTTTTTCGATCTCTTCTCTCGCTTGGCATGAGCTGCCACGCTTTGGGAATAAGTGAAATTTCTTTTTCGTGTGCCCATGTGTCTCTGTAGTTGCTATATTTTTTTTGCTTTCAAAAGCGGTGTGGTGGCTTTCACTTGCACATCCAGACATGTGCACCCGGTGCGCCTGGTTTCGATTCCGTTGTATCGCTTTTGCCCCCACAAGCTAATAACTCTCTAGTTTCTAATCTCTCTTAGGGTGACTGCTTGTGACTCTCTCATTTATTGCTACCCAGGGTGCGATCACATCTGTTTCTGTGGAACGCTAAACTACACAAACAAGGCCGCCTATTTCAGTGTATTGTTTTGGGGACTCAGAAAAATTAACTCTGTCTTGCTGTAATCATAAGACTAAAGATTATTATAGTTTTCTCACTTGTTTTGTTTTGCAGATGACCGTAAATTGATACAGTTTTCTTCCATGTGCACATTCACGCAGTTTACTTACGCTACAAAAGTGTGCACCACTTGTTTTCGCGCTAGCGAGTCGAGAGGCGATTTTTCCGATGTGCCGTATCAGAATCTGATTCACTGGATGTAAGTTTGTCAGACCAGGATTTTATTTACAAGTTCAGACTTGGGTGATGATGAAGGAGCGACATCTCGAATGCGTGTGGCGAGACAATCTAGACCGAATCAAAGTCTACTATTCCTCAGTGTTTAGTTTTAGAGCAGAGACATTTTTTTAATTGAAAAGTACTCTGGTGCACTTATTTTTGTACGTCTGCGAACTATGTATATTACAATGCATAATTTTATTTTATAAAAAAAAGTTGTATGAGTGATTTTCTTGGTATTAGTACTACAAATAAACCATGCTAAGTACAAAAATGATTTTTGTCACTTTACGGTCAAACACAAAAAAAAAAAAAACATTTTAGACAATTTGTTTCTTAAACAAAATTGCACGTGGACCTGAAATAAAGATTACACATTTTTGAACTGCATTTGACACACACACACACACACACACACACACACACACACACACACACACACACACACACACACACACACACACAAAAATTCGACCCTGAATGTGCTAAATAAAAGCATACCAAAAATAAAAAAACAAGCTCTTCAACACTATTGCATTCAAAAAAGTGAAAATCAACACTAATGCAACAAGAGAAATGATCTCATACAAATACTTTAGAAGTGCATTATTCTGCACTTTCCTTTGTAAGCCACCACTTTGTCTTCAATACATTAACATTTGACTTGTGCTAATTTGACCTGAAGGGGTCTATGAAAGTGGTTGCATTATCCAGTGGCTCACATCAAGAAAGAGCCAGAAAAGCAACAAAGCACACAACAGACTCATTTGGCTGCTTCGTCACGATTTTACAAAGTAAAAAAAAAGCTAATGAAAACAAAAAGACATTCCAGTGCCAAAATTATATAAAAATGAAACTTACATCAATTTTTCAGCGAGAAAAACTTATCTCTGATTCCATGAATAAAAAAAGATGGTCAGGGAGTATATGGCTAGGTATAAGGCTCTCTCAGATATGTTAGGAGTATGTATACTCACTTTGCTTTGGTAACTACATGCTCAAACCTGACTTGCACTTTTATATATTTAGCATTCTCAAGCAGTTTTGAGTTATGGGCATTGGGAAACATTTCTAACTTATTTCTGACCTCCCCAAAGCATTACCACAAAACCACTCGCATCAATTTCAAACATGAGGTGCATGAGAATTGATCACATGTAGTCTAGTGATCAAACAAGTAGATCCTGCCATTTCATCGCTAGCCATGCTTTTCTGACAGCTGTGTACAAATTTAGACTGCAAAGCTCACATGACAGGCCTTACTTGCATTGCAGTTGTAGATCAGTGGAGATAGTGTAGAATACTCTATAGATTCTCTTCACTTTCTCCACCTCTGGCCCTAGGCCACTAGTTCACACGTAACTGAAAAATCAGTGGCTTTGCTGGTATCACGAAAGGTGCGGCAATAAAGTGGAACATAAAGTGAAATGTTTCAAAATACAGTATACTCGTGATAAGTCAAACGATGATATTTTATATTTACAGTTAATTCAAACATTGCATATTTTTCGATAAGCTACTATGTTTTTAAATGGTGGTTAATTCAAACTGCACCATTCAGTTAATTCTGCTAATTCATGCTTTTTTCTTATCCATACCAGAAACGTTACGTGTTTTTGTGCCATTGAATTAATATTTGTGATGCCATATTTAACAAAGAGCCAAAAATAAAGACAATTGCCAGCCTACACTTGCCACAACATCCAAAGACATGAGCATAAAAAAAGAGATATGCAACAAGACAAAAGCAATGCCCATTATAATCGCCTATCTCTGCTTTCCCTAATATGTTGCACCAAGTAATTTTCAAGTTTGCCTCTTAAAATTCAAATTTTTGATAATACAAACGAAATTCTGGGGTCCCCTAAAGTTTGAATTATCAAAATCCTGCTATACAAGTTCTCAGTATGTTAAACCTAGCAAAAACAAAAAAAAACTGTGAATTTTATTACATATGTGCAAAAATCATGGAATTCACAGAAGAAAATCGGCTGTGCATAATGAACACCTGCCTTAAAGAGCATAGCAATAAGAAGTAAATGTGAAATATTCCTAAAGGAGAAGCAAAGAACAAAATAAATTTTATAATATGCAGGGATCCAGCTATGATAGAGGACGCATAAGTATCAAGCAAGATAAAATGCAGTGACCACAAAATGGTGATGGCAAAGATCAAACAACCTACAAGGAGCAAGAACATAATTAGCCACTAAAACAGGTGAACTTATATGTAATCAAGGTAAAAACAGAGCAATTTACACTTGCATTCGAGAACAAGTACAGTGCTTTAAAACAAGAAGAAAATAAAGCCACAATGAACATGAATGAAACCGGAACTAGAATAATTTAGGAACCAACACTTTAATAGGAGGTAAAGCACCAGGACAAGAAGAAGCAAGCTCTTTTAAAAATAAATGACAGCAGATGAATGGAACTAGGTACCTGAAGACACAGAATTTCAAGCTGCCAAAACTGATCAACAAAAGTAAACTTAGTGGCATATGGAACTATAATCTCAAAGAGATAGAGGCAGCAGTAGAAAAAAGGGCAACAGCATCAAAGAAGCTAAAATATAAAAGAAAACACTGCAAGAGAAAGAATATAAGGCATGCGACAACAGATGAGCCGGATAATATTTAAAAATTGTAATGACATAGTGAAGGTGACTGAGGAATTCTATTTTAAACTGTACAGTTTCACTTATAGCTCAACCCACCATGAGTTAAATCAATTTCCAATGTGACACTAAAGTTCTAGGCATAACTACCGATGAGGATAAAAACGCTCTACAAGGAATGTCCGCTTAAGTCAGCCGAAGATGACGAAATAGCAACCATTTTGATCAAAGAGGGAGGAGGTTTTATATTTATTAAGCCTGCTACACTCAACACAGTATGTCCGAAAACTTCAAATGTACCTACGACTTAGAAAACTGCCAACACATATTTTGCTAATACATAAACAGAGAGACTTCACTAAGAGACCGCAAGAACTACAAGTTGATTTGCCAACATTTAGCATTAAAGAAAATACTCGCGAAAGGAATTTGTATAGGATAATAGACAAAATAAACTTTAATCAACCTAGAAAGCAAGCTGGCTTCAGGAAAGAGGACTCTATCATAGATCACCTTTAGTGATCAATGAAATAATTAGAAAATATGTCAAATACAAAAGGATAACCCATTTTATGGCACTTACAATTACAAAAAGCATTAGATCGACTCTGCAAAGATACTGGTGTTACTGAAGGCATTGCATCAATGAGGAGTACTAGAAACAAAAGTGAATAACTACAGCCAATATAGACAGATTCCACAGCTATTTAGCTCCTCTTCAAGAAAAGCAGGAAAATCCCGATCGAGAAAGGGCTCCAACAAGAAGACACAATCTCTTCATTGTTATTCAATGCATGCTTAGAAGTATTTAAATGAGTAGACTGGAAAGAAATAGGGATAAAGACTAACAGAGAATATCTAAAGAACTTTTGGTTTGGAACATCGCAAACTTCAGCAACAACGGCAATGAGTGGATTGAATGAATAAACTTTATTAAAAGTTAGTCCGGCAGTTTCCTTGAGGCAAAAGTAATTGCAAAAAATAACTGGAGACCTCAATTGAAAAATTGCCAGAGCATAGTTAAAAACAAACACTCAGAAAACAAAATAATGCTAGAAGGCCAAGTGAACGAGTGATTGTTCACAATAGATAATCAGACCCTAGAATCTTTAAAAACATGTTTATCTTAGCCGAATAAACTGGGGAGTCTACTCAAGTGAATAATCTCAACTCACGACTCTAAACGAACAGTGTACAACCATTGTATTTTGTTAGTTCGGATAAACAGGGCAGAAGCTTGAAGACTAACAAAGAAACTTGACAACTACAAAGCATGTGATAATATGAAAAATGATCGGACTAACATTAAGAGGTAGTAAAAGACAGCAGAATAAATCAAATAAATGAAGATAGATAATATTTTAATTGATTTTAAGAGAAAAAAAAAGAGTCAACCACAGCATATATGAGAAAAACAAATAGTTGATGGTCAGTTAGATTGATGGAATGGATACCAAGATATGGGAAGCCTGGCCAAGGATGAATAAGATGGAGGAGATGGAGCGATGAAAGTAAAAAATCTGCAGGCATAAAATCGAACCAGCTGACACAAGTGAGGCTGGCGGGGAGCTAATTGGGAGATCCCTCTGTTCTGCAGTGGATATGAAAAAACTGATGATGGCGCCGTAAAAAAATGTGTTAGGTTACACATATATTTAACAACGAAGTATAGAACTGTGGATACTAATAGTTCTTATTGTGGCTTTAAAGTTATTTTGCTGTTTCTTCTAAAAATTACTCATTCTGATGGAACATTCAATAAACAAGTGCGACCCACAAAGGGTTAAAAAAAAAAAATGAAAGGAGGCTGCACTTTCAGATGGTGCATCATTTAGCTTGTACTACTACTCACCTCTGCGTATCCAGTCCCCATTGTGAATATTGAGGACAGTGCCCATGAGATCACTTGACCTGTGGCGCTGCTGCCACAAGTAGTCCATAGCAGCTCGTGCCTTTGCCTACACAAGCCACAAAAAAAATGCAAAAACACAATATGAAGCATTTTTTGTCAAGACGCAAGATGCCTCATGTTACTGCACAAAGCAAAGTGGTAAAATGATTATCCTCTTTATAAAATTTTATAACACTTCACTAGCCAAGTAACTACATTAGTTAAAGAGCATAAAATGACTCACACAGAGAAATGCCAATTAAAATTTAAGTAACACATAGACGTAACATGAATGAATTAATTTACATCTAATGCAGCCCTAACTTAGGGCTATAATAGGAATGAATATGGCCCATCATATATGTATGACAGTAAACGAAAAGATTGCTATGACACAGTGATCGTCTGCTACGGTACTTCCGTAGCAGACGACACGCAATTTTGTTATCCACCTATGGTGCCAAACAGACGATCCCGCTAATAAAAGGAAAGTTGTCCTTGCCCCGAAGTCGTCGTCCAACGTTCAAGCCGGGCGGGACTTTGGAGCGGATGAAAAAAATGTGCGCCACTGGAGGGGCTGCTGCATTGGACACCCCTGAAGCTTTGATTGTGCGCTCTTTTAAGAAGTGCAGCATATCCAATGCGCTTGATGGCACCGAGGATTGCGCACTGTTTGAAGACAGCGACAAAGAAGTCAGCGACGAGGGAAGCAACGACGACAACTCGGAATGAGCGCTGAATCGGACTAGAAGCAGCGCAAAAAAAAAAAAAAAAAAGACGTCAAAGAAACACAACAAGAATAGAGGCTGTATGCTTCTCAAGCTATTTGCATCAGAAACCAATTGCTTTGTTTCATCTTCATATTTAATAAATGTTTTCTCTTTGTGAAAGCTGTTTTTGCTGTTTCGTTCGGCCTAAACTCGAGGTAAGTTTTTTATTCCCGGGCTTCGGACTTTAGGGAGTCGGCTTAGAATCGAGGTCGACCTAGATTTGAGTAAATACGGTAGGTCCCGAAAAAGAAAATAAATTGTAGACATAAATTCTAAAGATCGCATTTGCCTATATTAGAGATAATGTTTTGTGCCAGCCGCTCGGCAGTGAAATGGATTCCAGTACCATACACTGTTCCATCAGCTTCTTACATGCACTCTGTATGTAACTGTATTTCTAAAGCATTCACCTTGTACAGGTAACTACCTTATAAGGTGCACTAAACCTCAATAAAACAGACAAAAGAAACATCATAACCTTTACAAGGCAGGCATCGTCTTACCTCAAAAATAGGCTCCCCAGTCAGCCTGCTAAGAGCAGCAAACTCTAAAATCATTGTGCCAGCACATGCTGTGCATGTCTCGTGCACTTGTCCCAACTTGGGTGACTTCAGGCCTAACCGTAAATTTATCTGTAAAAAGCAAAACAAAAAGAGGATCAAAACGTTGAAAAAAAAGACAGGTTTAAAGTATATGATCATAAAAAAAAGGAAAGACAGTGAATATAAATGAAAGTAAACAAAATAAAAAAAGCCTTACCAAAACCAGAATTACATATAAGTAAACGCCACCTATGACCATGTCTATTCTATCTGTCACATTTTGCAGTTTTATATAAAATACAATAAACAGTAGCTATAACTGTTCCAGCTCACTCAGCTACAATGCAAAATAACTGTTTAAACTGGATCACTGTAAAAGATGGCTTTGAGTGGCTAAGTACAACAAAATCTGTCCGTCCGTCCGTCCGTCCATCTGCCTGTCTGTCTGTCTGTCTGTCCGTCTATCTAGCAGCCTACTACTTATAGCTCTCCTGGCTATCAATCAATCAATCAATCAATCAATCAATCAATCAATTATTCTATCTATCTATCTAGCGGCCTAGGATTTATAGCTCTCCTGGCCATTTCAATAATAGTATCGATACCAAAATTTGTATGGAATAACATGACGGTATGACGAGAATAAGTGACTAGTCATAACATGAAAATCATGACATGTATGTCATGAACGTCATGATATACATTTCATGGCACGCTGCTCTTGCAGTGGTTTCATTCATATGACATATTGCAAATCTGGTATGGTATGACATAACTGCATGGCAAACATAAGTGACAGACTCTAAAGTGGAAATCATGAAATGCATGTCATGTAAGTCATGACTACACAACCACACTCATGGTGCACTCGCAGTCATTTCGCTAGCTTCACATATACCAAATTCGGTATTATGGGCCATGACTAGATGACGAATGTATATGGTATGACCGGTGCAAACATGATAATCATGAAATGCATGTCATGTAAGAATATGACTTCATGCCACGCTCATGATGTGCTCGCGGCCGTTTCGCTAGCTTCACATATACAAAATTTGGTATCACGTGATGCGAACGGACGATGAAGGTAAATGACATGTCCAAACATGCTAATCATAACATGCATGCCAGATAGAACATGACTATACTCGCGACAACTTTCTGTGGCAGCACAGCCAAAGCTATGTGGGCGGAGCTTCTGCACATGTGTTACTACGCCAAGTAGTCTGTTTTCGTGCAATTTCGGTTTCGCAAGCGCATCCGACATGTACTTTTTCGCACGACCACCATGCAATAAATATTACATTTATAAAAAAGGCAATAAATAAAATGTTCATTTCAAAAGGAAAAGAACACGAAGCTTTTTTGGAGCGTTAAGATTTATTTCAGAAAAAAAAAGACGTACAGCCGAGCATCAGTCATGAGTAGGCGTCTGATGTTAATGGATTCAAGTGGATGAAACGCAATCTTTGCTCGACCAAGAACAGGGTCCTGATGCACTGCGGCGGAAGTGGCTTAACATTGTGACCGCAACAGAACAAAGCCAAGAAATTTTGAAACTGCTGTTCTTTGTTCTTTTCTTTCATTGTGGGGGAACATTTCTGAATTCAATCGCGAGCTGTGTTCAACCAGATAAAGTAACAATGGCACGCCTCCGTCAGTCCAGTGCAGCAGTGGATATTTATCGGTGGGACAACTTATAGAGAGAAAATGTTTTATCTGCTGCTGCTATAGCAACCAACGTGGTCGGTCGCAACGCTAGCGTTTGCAGTGCATCTTGTTAGTTTGTTGGCGGAAAGGGGGCATACATTTTTAGCTTTAGTTCCTAACACGCCATAGCTGCGTTTGCCTCCTAGGAAATTCATATTTCTTGCAAAGCATTTGTTTCTACGACAGCGCATTTTTTATCTTGAAGTTGCGTTATCCTGTCTACAGATACTTGCTGCGGTCAGCAGATTGATGGGCATGCATCGTTGTTAACTGTCGATAGTGTCTTGCAAGTGTCTTCACCATGGTTACTGTTAGGGTCTGTGAATCTGGATTGGAAAAGTTGATGACACCTAATCTGCAGGTTGCAAACGCGGTCTCTGTTTCTCACTAAAATTGGCGCAAGAAAATTTTGAGGCTGGTCGAGCATTTAGGCACAGCGTGGCACAATTTCAACGAATTGCATGTTTCTGGCTCAGCTTGGCACAAAAATAGGGAACTGTATCAAATTGGCACAATTGCTACAGCTGTTACAGCCCTGCACACAGGCTAATCCCTTAAACAAAACACTAAACAATAAGGATTAAGAGAAAACAAAAGAAAGGCAAGTGGACAGGGTATGAGCTAACCCTATCCATTGTATTCTTTCTCCTTCCTTTCAGTATAATGATTTTTTTTGCCACCATTATTTTTGTTTAATGCCCGGAATGAGAAAACAATTCGACAGGGCATGCGCTAACACTGTGCCCTGTCATTCCCAGAAACCTGTTTTGCGGGTTGTTTAATGGGTTACCAACAGGCAGCTCAACACATTTCAACTTTACTGCACATGTCTATCTCTCGCTACTTTGGTCTCGCTTCATGGGAAACAGTCTGACGGTGGGGGACTCCAAATTGGACCTGGAACGTCATCGCCGCTTGATGCTTCGAAGTGTAACTGCAGTGTTGACGTGCGTCATCCATTTTGGAGTATAACAGGGCCTCAAGAGATTCAACTGGGTCTGCTCCCATTGAACCTGCTGGCTGCATAGCTGTACAGGGTGCTTTTTTGGACAATACAGCTCTTTTTTAAAGTTCTATGACAGCCAGGCCGTTGTTGTTTTTGCACACAAACCCTATATTGTGGCAGATTTACTTTGCTGGAACTAAACTTATAAACAAAAACTCATCAATTATAAACTTGAGGGCTGTCGTTTATACTACTACCGTATACTGCTGTGGTAGGTATCAATTTATGGCATGCTCATGTTTTAGAAAATGCAAAACTTGCACAAAATTCAAGATATTCACAGCGAAATTTTTAAGAGCGATATGAGAACTGACATGCCAGGAGCACAGAAAATGCGGCCTGTCTGTTGTGTAAGAGCTGAACTACATGTGAAAAGAAAGTGATAAAATTTGACCCAAGCTGTGCTGAAGCAAAATCTGGTCAGACAAATGGGCAAGCATTCTGAAATACACAGGCACACAGCTTATTCTTTAGGTGCGATGCGTGATGCTCATCTGTTCCTTCATTAAGCTATAAAAAGGCACAAGGTTTCTCATCAGCTCTCTCAAGCTATAACTTGAGGGCATGCCTCAAGACACTACCCTTGGCTGCATCTTGAAGGTTGCAGCCAGTGCAACAAAACAGTGTCAACATACGCACACAAGGTTTTTGGCTTTTTGTCTAAATATGGAACAAATTTTAGGACGTATGCCTAACAAACACCCAATTTTACACTTACTTATACTCCCTCATTGATGAGTTTTTTGTGCACGAAATCAAGAACACAGTGCGAACACCAAAGCTCCCTCCCACATTAATGAACAAGACGACTTCTCACATCTCTCACAACTACAGTTGTCGAGTAAATGGCTCTCAAGTGCAAGTGCCGATCCCAAAGTCACTGGAACCCTAATGAACTGGCCAATTCTAATGACTATGTAATAGTGGACTAAGTCATGGCAATCGTTGTTGCATAATCATTAAAGATAGTACAGTTTTCTGGTACTGTTGATGTGCATTTGGAAAGTAGAGGGATGTTTTCTGGGGTCATTGGGTGCTGGAAATGAATCCCCCCCCTCCCTTTTTTTTTTTCTTTTTTGAATGGAGATATCCTGAATTGAGTGCGATTCATGTTCCTATAAACTCGTCACTTTAATTTCACATGAATGTCACCTATTCTTGCTTCACAAATAGATTCATGATCCCGTGCTTTGACTGCTTACTATAGCCTCAAGTATTACCACACAGATTACTACTGCTCTTACCTCTTAGGCTATCAAGCAAACAAATCATCCCGAGTTCCTTCGACTCTGGCACGCAGTGCTACAAAAATGTATGCTATGACACTAACTTGAATGTCAACAGCTTGAAATTTCATAAAAAGGTGGTATCTAAATTTTTGTAGGATTCCACACTCACAATAAGCATGCCGGGAAAAGGGTGTATGCACTTGAAAACAAGCAGTTAACCGTTGACCTAACCTTATTTTAAGCAAAAGTGGGACAGTACTATTTTTGCTACTCTATGTATAAAAATGTGAACCACATGTATGAGAGTAGTATCTCCTTAGCTGTCTCATCTCATCTAGCTGCTAGCCATAAATAATAGTCGCTCATGGTGCATATTTTGGAGACAAATCTCACCCTAGGATGCGGCACACCTGTGGTTGTATTAAATGCTGGCAGTAACCGGTACCCTAGCTCCTTAGCCATGAGCAGCAAGTCGCCTCTGTACCACGTCATGAGACCGTGACGTTCCTGCAGGTATGAAGCCAGGATGTGCCCACTCAGGAGGCCCCTGCATAGGAGTGCATCAGAGTACAAGTTCATCGCACTGCTCTTTGCAGCAATAGTAGTTGTAAATCACACATGCATGAGGAGTTCAGAATTAAACTCTAGAGTTTTAGATGCCAAAACCACTATGCCATTATGGGACACACTTTTTTAGAGGGTTCAACATTATATCGACTATCTGAATCTTGTGCGGGAACATGTACAGTTGCTGATTGATAATTTGGACGTGATCATTCAGAGATGCCCAAACACATCAGCAGCTTTGCGGCACCGCCACTGGCTCCATGGACTTGATGCAAGAGGACAACTAAAATTTGAACATATTACAGCAAACTGTGCAATAGTTATTCGAACTCCAGCTTGATCACTGCATGCAAACTTGGCCATGAAGTTGAGCATAAATTAACTATATTTTAGTTTTGATAAATCACCAGCATCACTTCAAAAACAAATATACCAAGCTAACTGACCTAACAGCTACTGACTATGTACAAGTTGCAACACAAGCCAAGCCAAAAAGCTGTAAAACCTGTTCTTTCATGATCTGTCATGCAACCTTCATTCTGAGTGACATAATTTCAGGAAAGTTTTGCAAGCAATTTCAAGTGACACCAATTCTGCCTTACATTATTTAGAACTGAGAAGGACAGCAAGGGAAGTAGTGGAAAATGACTGCTATGAAGAAATATGCCAGGGAGAGAAATATGCCATCATTCAGCAAACACAAAGTAGTCAACAATCCCATCCCCAAGAATCAAGAACAAACAGTGCATGTAGAGACTACTTCATTTGTAGCGGCTGCACGAAAATGGCTAGAATATGTTATTGTAGCGTTAGCTACACTAGCCTCGCTGAGCCAATTTCGCGTGGCACTGGTCTGCGCATGCGCAATGATACTCCACCGCCGCCGCGTGCGGCTCACCGCCGGTGTGCGCGCAATTCGATGGGCTGCGCAGACGATCAGTGGTGTCGCGCACCGGAGCCAACACCTTTCTCGCACTCGGCCGCGCGCGACTCGCCGCCGCCGGTGCGTGCTTTCGAAAGGAGTGCCGTCATAGCCTAGGTAGACATATGGACGCCGACGCGCGCGCCTTCCCTGTGCAGTCGCCATTTGACACTGCGCTGGAGCCACTTGATAGCGCCTCTGACTGGCATTTGCCACTGTGGTATAGCCATGGAGAAGGAGAGTGCAAATGCTGCTCAACGGTGCAGTAGAGCGGAGAAGCTTAACTCATCGGATCCGGAAGTAATTGCCCGGCAAAATAAATATACATGTGCCACATAATACGTATACCGTGTGTGTGTCATTAGAACAGCTGTAAGCATGATAATCAAGCTAATTCTAGACGATCAGGAAAGCTTTCCAGAGGAGTGACGTCATGGCCTTCCCAGAGGAGTGACGTCATGCGATGCGCAGTGGTGTCACGAACCGGAGCCGGCACCTCCCGCGACTCGCCGCCGCCGGTATGCGCTTTCCAGAGAAGTGACGTCGTAGTCTGGGCAGCCGTAATGGCGCCGGCGCGCGCTTGATAGCACCTCTGACTGGCGTTTGCCAGTGTGGTATGGCCATGGAGGAGAGCGCAGATGCTGCTTAACGGCGCACAAGAGCAGAGAAGCTTAACCCCTGGCAGTTAGCGGTTGAGCGTAGGAGGAATGAACAGAAGAAGGCTAAACGTGCTGCGGAGACACTGGAGCAAAGGGAGGAACGTCTAGCAAAGCGGCGTTGCCAGGAGGCTGAGCGACGTGCCCGACCATCTCTGCAGCAGCAACAACAAGACGCTGTCGATGACGTGAAGGCTCGCCGATCGAGTGACTATACTGTGAAACTTAGCGAAAGCGCCAGTGTGACTCGGACCTTTGATACGGACTTTCTAAACAATCCGTTTGGATGTGTGCGACGTGTGTGAAAGACTATGGCACATGAAAGACTTGACGCCACTAAGTAGTGCCATGCGTGAAACTTTGAGTTTAGCGGCGGCGCCCGAGTGGGGTGAAACCGTGGCACGGGTTTGTACAATGTGCAAGAACTTTCTCGTTAAGCAGAAGATTCCACTCTTTAGCGTTACCAATGGGTATCGTTACCCGGCCATGCCGCCAGGTCTACCGGTTGTGAACGATGTGGCCGAGCATTTACTTCCGCCACGCATTACCTTTGTTCAGATCCGTCGTCTGATGAACTGGAGAAACGGTGAGTTTGGCATTAAGGGACCCGTGGTGAACGTGCCGGTAGACACGGACGAGATGCTAAAGCAGTTGCCTCGTGGCTTGGCAGACGATAAGTGCATAGTAGTGAACATAAAGAGGAGAATGTTTGCTTAAACTACCTATCTGTCGAACATGGTTTCTCGCATTGTGCTGGGACCATGGGTTGAGGTACTGAGAGTCTCACCGGTGTATGAGCACTACGGCATAAAAATTGACGAGGGACGTTTGGAGAGGCTGTATCGGAAAGCCGTCGCTCCAGACGAAGACTTTAACGTGGAGGCTTGTCCCGATCTCGCCGATTTAGATGATCCGATGAAAGTGGCCACAGCTTTGACATTGGACCAGCATACTTTGGTGTACAATGAAAACGCGGTCTTAACCATGGCACCGGGAGATGGCAAGAGACCTGTGAGCATCTTGTATGATACCCATGCTGAGGAGCTGTCTTTCCCTCAAATATACTTGAGCCAGGCTCGTTATATAACCCCAGAAGCTAAGCCTACTTTGTTTTCCATTGCCTCGAGTGAGATTCGGAGGAAAGATAGATGGGGGCCTTTGCCGATGCACGTACTGTACATGGTTATGAAGGTGTTGCGTCACCGTGTTTTGTCGCCAATGACTATGATGAATCGGAGCAGCGCGACAACTCGTGGTCTGACCAGACAGGATATCGAAGATCCTGACAAGGTTAAACAGTTCATTGAGTAGGATTTGGTATTCATGGAAGGTGTCCCAAACACTGTGCAGTACTGGCAAAAAAGGAAGAGCGAGCTGTTCGCCATGATTAGGCAGCTTGGGAAGCCGATGGTGTTTCTGACACTTTCTGCATCTGAGGTGCATTGGCCAAAATTGCTCGAACTGCTTGCGAAACTGCAGGTTAGGCCCCAGGAGTTGGGCTTTGACGAAGACGAGATGAACCAGAGGTACGCGGCGACGTTGGTGAATAATGATCCAGCTGCGTGTGTAATTTACTTTGAACACATGGTAAGAGTGATTATGTGCTGCGAAACTCCTGGACAAGCCCATTTAAGCCGTACCACATGGTGGAAAGCAGCTGAACCTTTGCTAACGCTACGTATATCCTAGCATAGCTGAGCTAAGCCACTGCCATTATTTTTAGCTATGCTTTCACTCAGTTCAGTGCCACTCTTATAATCCATGGTTTATGACTGCTGACTGGTTCCATTAAGCTAAATGGGTGGAACATTGCTCTGATCCTTCACAAAGTGTAAAAACCATAAAAAGGACTGGTCTACAAAAAAAAGTCCCTAACAAAATTTGTGCCACAGACTGTGTAGGCCATAGGTAAGTGCATGTGCGTACAACAAGGCATTGACAACTTTGGCCACACTGTTGCACTATGACTTTTAGACATTGTCTTTCGAACAATATTTTCCCCGACTAGCAGCAGACACATCAGTGGGTGACAGTGCTGAAAGGTAACTTGGCAAGGTAAGAACATAAATTCGTCACTGTAGCAAGAATGCCACCATTCATTAGACATTGATGCATGTTGCGCTGGTCATGCAAAATTAATGTTGTCCCTAAAAAGTAACACCTACAAGTGGCCAAAAAAAGATAAACTTTTTTTGGCCACTTGTAGAAAGTTCTTTAATTTCTAGTGAGTCTAGTATTTTTTTACCTTTATTTACTTGGACTTCTTGGAAGTCTTCATCCAGTGAAGTTATAAGTTAGCGACTGAGTGTTTGTTTTTCTCATCTTGGGATAGGGTTGTCTATGCGATTGTTACAAATTGTTATACCTTTATGTGTGTAAAAGGGTCCTGAACCACTTTTCAAGTATTCATCAAATTAACTCAGTATCAGAGTTCATTACCTCTAGAATTGATAGCCACAAAAAATTCTCGGATCTGTCAAGAACAAGCAGAGTTAGAGGAATTCAGCGCAAGCTTCAAGTGTTTTCTCTCCTTTTTTTTTTTTGTCCTGATGAGCACAATGAAAGCTACACAAAGAGGGATGGCCAGGGGGAAAGACGTTGCATCAGGCCGCATCCTGACCTTCAGTACGCATGATGGAATGCGATCACTGTCGGTGCAATTCTTGTCGTGAGTGTGGCTACTGTGTAATGTTAGCAGACTATAGAGCACGGCGCTGGCACATGACGCGACCTAGTGGAAGAAAGTGCAGCTCCTTTATCTTGGGTATTGGCCAAAATACCATACTATCTGTAGTGTGATGCTGGGCTGCAGGCACTGGCAACTCCGAAGAGAGTGAGCGCAGGCCTCTGTATGAAAAAACGAAGCCAGAAAAAATGGCAACTTCACACTCCGCTCCTAAGCTCTCCTTGCTATGCGTGACTGCAAGATTTGGCTGAGCTGTTCATAGCAGTGTCTGTTTTCCGTCGGATGTGTTTTCTCAACCAACCCAAGGGGTGGTTCTTGACCGCTTCAGCTAATTAAGCCCCTCTCATTTATGCTTTCCTACATTCTTTACAAAACTTTCTAATTATAACCACCCCTCCTCTTTCTATGATCAGTTGCCCTCTATCTTATCTCCCACATTTTACAGTACCGTTGGGCAATGAAAAATGATGCCATTTTTTATGCCTATGAACCTTTCTTTGCTATCTCTCCTTTTGTCCTCTATTAAATACCATAAATTACTAGCTCCTTTTCTTCACTTAATTAGCATAACTATAGAGGGCTGCTGGTAACTTAAAAAAAAAAACACTTGAGAAGCCACACTGCACAGGTTACCAGTGGGTTAAAGTCTACATTCCGTGTGTGAGAACTGCTTGGTTGTGAAGTACCTACCTTTTGCCAATTGCCAGGCACACCGA